GCGTGTGGCTGGGATGAGTAGAGGAAGGGGGAAAGGAAGCATATAATGTGAGATAAATCTTGAAAGATGAGTAGCAGCCACATAAGGCAAGACTTTTGAGACAAGAGACTTTTCTCTTTCTTTATCCTAAGAGCAGTGGGAAGCCAATAAAATAGTTTATGCAAATTTCAGACATACTCTATTGTGTTTCAAAGAGTTCTATCTGGCTGTAATTTGTACAATGGGCTTTGCATTCTAGATTGAATGCAAGTAGACCACGTAACAGATATCAGTAGCTTGGACCAGGGGTAGTGGTGGTGTAGACAGATTCAAGAGAAATACACAATGTAAAATCGACAGAACTTGATGATAAATTGGTGTTTTTTGCCTTTTTTCTTTGTTTCTTAATTAGAGTTGCCAAAGATTTGTCTGTTTAATTGGTCTTTTCTGTGTGTCAGCTTTTGGTATTATTGATCAACTCTACTGCTGTTTCTAAATCATTAATTTCTTCTTTATTACATTACCTTACAACCATAAATTTTCATACAATATTACCTTTGGTTGATGGTCTATTCGATAGGAAGTCTGCTGGAACTGGCGTATCTCTCTGACGATGTGCGATATCTAACAGAGAAACAACAACAAAAGCAAAGCAAAAGTATTTCCCTGTGTCGCAGCACATTCTTCTGGGGGTGCTATCACAAAGTAGTCAGTCACTCCCTCCAGTGAGGTATCTGGAGCCCTGCCCGATCATTCTTTAATCCCAGGGCTTCACAGCCATTCTGTGAGCCATATGAAATGCTGACAGCAGGAAGACAGCTGAATTCACAATGGAGGCAACAGCTGGTGCTGGGAGGCCTCAGGCTCATGAGTAGAAAGCTCTGGGTGCTAATGTCTGTGGGCTCCTTGCTTCTAACATGGTGATCAGAACCCGGCTGTCCAGCTAGAAGCTTTCAGTATCTGTCTATCACTGGTCAGTCTCTGACAGTCATCCCCGGAGCTTTATTCCCCACCCCATTTGCCCAGGCTGCAAGCTGACATGGCTTAGCCAAAAATCTCCTCAATCAGCTCTCAATGGGCAAACATCAGGTACCGGACCCAGTGGCCACCGTCTCGCCTACCTTGCGATTAAAAAGCAAACAGTGACTTTCATGACTTAAGTCTCTTCTTTATTAGCCAGTGAAGTCATTGAAGCAGTTGATTATGAAATCATGACCTACCATTCTCATTTTGGAGAAATTGACAAGGCCTTCCTCAGTAAAGTTTGGCGTTCCTTCTTCAATAAATGCCAAGTCCGTTAGGTACATCCCCAGATATGGAACGGCTGGGGGGTTACAACTGCAAGACCAAGAGGCACTTTCCTTAGGCTCATTCACACAGATGTCGATAGCCCTCCCCAGTCTGACAGAAAGTAACTATGCTGCTTCAATCCTGAAGAATAAAGTCTTTTAATTCCATTTTCAGAAGCACACTCATGATACGCAGAGTTTTAAATACATNATTTATAAGTACTGTATCTTTTCACGTATTGAAACCCTCTCTTCCCCACAGTGCTTTGTGGCCTTCTGTCTTATTCCACAGTTTTGTCGGTGAGGCATTGCGGGTACCTTTCTGCAAACTCTGAACCTGCCCCTCAAAGGGCGTTGGCTTCTGGGGCACCACAGCCTCAGGTAGAAGCCCCCACCCTACCTCACACAGACACTGGCTGGAATCCTCTGGGGCACAGCTTACCGAGTTTTAATTAAACCAATGTTATATACAAATCCAGTTGACTTTCACCCTATCTTTCTTATCCTGTTGCCTAAAGACTGAAAAAGCAGGTTCAGAGCATGCCATTCATTATTCCTCCATGCACTGAAATCCATGCACATGCTGTCGACTAGAACTGCTTATGTGTCAGCCTGTCCCTACAAAGGAAGCCTCGGCTTTTCTGGAAGCTTGTAACAAAGGAAATATAACAGAAGCAGTTAAATTCTAGAAGACTGGTAGGTGGACCCAGACCAATAAAGTGTTTGAGAAACATCACAGGCCTTTTTCATGAATCCTTGTCTAACAAGTTCTAACAGAACATGGGGCAGACTTTGAAACTGACCTTCTTACCTCCTTCATTAAAACAGCTACCACATCTCCCATCTTACATTCTCGTATGCAAACCTTGCCATCAGCTTTACCCTTTTCACCTTCCCACTCAAGTCTTTGACCCCAAACAGCTGGGCTTCCCTGGCTGGAGACAGAATTCCAGTTTGATTCCATCTTCTTCCGTGGACAAACGAGAACTGGCTTCGTCTCCATCCGCGCTGTCCTCACTGCACCGTGGGAGGCATGGCATGCACAGTTCTGTCCATCCCGCTTTCCATGAAAATTCCACAGACTCAGGGGCAAGGCCAAATCTTCAAGCAGGGAGCCGAGGTTCAATTTTTAGCGACAGCTCATACAGCGTATCTTCATCTATGATGAGGGCTTTGTCAAGCAAGTACTGGGTGACCTGCAGAAAAAGAGAAATCCTAGCTTTTAGTTTTTTCAGAATACCAGTATGTACGTTTTCTGAATAGAATCCAACACAATTCAACATTTTCTCTTAAACATTTAAAAATTTTATGTAACTAAAATAAATTATGAATACACTCTCCGTGTAAAAAAACAAACAAAAACATTTCTAGTCCTCTCCCAACTCTTGGGGCACTTTCCCCAAGGGGCACACAGTTATCGTTTGGTTTGTATTCTCTCAAATGTTTTACTGTCTTTCTAGATATTACATGTACCTAAAGAACTCTTTTTCCCCCATCATAAGTGGTATCATACTGTACATTTTATTCTGCTTTCATCTCTTAACTACAATAGAAGTCATGGAGAGCTCCCATGCCAGTACATAGAGCCCGCCTGCTCTATAGTACTAATAGTGTGATATATTAGAGTTTATTTTATGATCTCATGTGGATGAATGTTTAGTTGCTGTTAATATTTCACTGTTACACAAAGTTACAGTGAAATCCTTGTTAGCATGCTTCCTAGTGCTTACATGGGAGAGTTCCTCTAGGGTGGGGACTAGAAATGAAACGAAAAGAAATGACACCGAAATGAAGATGTTGGTGCATGGGGTATTTCTATGAAAATAGTTCTTTATTTTTATTGAGAGCTATAACTTACATATGCAAAATTAATAGTTTGATTAGTTTTGACAAATGTATATACCATGTAACTTACATATATATATATATATATAT